GCTCAGGTTGGAGTGCAGTGGCAAGATCATGGCTCACTGCAGCCTTGACCTCCTGAGTAGCTGGGACTACAGGCACATACCACCCATGCCTAATTGTTAAATTTCATGTAGAGATGAGGGTCTTGCCATATTGCCAGGCTGAACTTGAATTCCTGGGATCAAGGGATTCTCTGCCTTGGTCTCCAGAAGTGCTGGGATTACAGGTATCAGCCACTGCACCTGGCCTTTTTTTTTTTTTTTTTTCTGTTGCTTATTTTTCTTTATTAACCTTACCAAATATTCCTCTATTAGTCATTCAAATAACTTTTATGTTTGGTGATCCTCTAAAATACACTTACTGTGTATGATGCTTTTCTTCCATTAAGCTTATTTTACTGTTCTTTAAAACCTTCTTAAATGTTTAGCTAATTATTTTTGAGCTTTTTCTTTCTTTTTGAGATGAAGTCTTGCCCTGTCGCCCAGGCTGGAGTGCAATGGCATGATCTTGGCTCACTGCAACCTCTGCCTCCTGGGTTCAGGCGATTCTTCTGCCTCAGCCTCCCGAGTAGCTGGGATTACAGGCACACGCCACTACGCCTGTCTATTTTTTTTTTTTTTTCCATCTTTAGTAGAGATGGGATTTCACCATGTTGGCCAGGCTGGTTTTGAACTCCTGACCTCGTGATCCGCCCACCTTGGCCTCCCAAAGTGCTGGGATTACAGGCATGAGCCACTGCACCCAGCTGCTATTTTTTTTTCCTTTTCCAATATAAGCCTAGTTATATGTTTCCTTCAAAGGATCACTTAAGCTACATTCCACAAGGATTTCCATGTAATATTTTTGCTATTCATCTATAAAAGTGTATTTCCTATCTCCATTATGAGTTATCTTTCAACCTATGAAGTTTTTGTTGTTTGTTTTTTGGGGGGAACGGGAATAGTTGGATAGGGAAACATTATAAGCCTTGCTTCGTGAGACACCATCGTTGATTTATACAAATCCCTTTCTTCATGCATTTATTAAGATGAAATTTGCATAGCACATTAACCATTTTAAAGTGAACAATTCAGTGGCATTTAGTACATTTGCAATGTTGTGCAACTACAACTTTAGCTCCAAAACATTTTCATAACTACAAAAGAAAACTCTGTACCTATGAGACAGTTTCTTCCCATGCCTTCAGCCCACAGCCCCCCACAAGTATAAATATGCATTTTATTTTTATAGGTTTACCTCTTCTGGATATTTCATATAGGTGGAATCATAAAATGTGTGACCTTTTATGTCTGGCTTCTTACACTGAGCATAATGGTTTCAGGGTTCCTTCACATGTAGCATAGGTCAGTGCTGCATTCCTTTTCATGGCTGAGTAGTATTCCATTGTATAGATTGACTGCAATTTGCTTATTCACCCACTGGACATTTGGGAAGTGTCTACCTTTTTTTCCAGATAGGGTCTCAGTCTGTTGCCCAAGCTGGCGTACAGTGGCATGATATAGCTCACAGCAGTCTTGTACTCCTGAGCTCAGGCAAGCTTCCCTCTCAGCTTCCTGAGTAGTTGGGACTACACACACATGCCACCACACCCTGCTTATTTTTCTATTTTTTAAATTTAATTTTTTTTTTTTTTTTGTAGACAGAGAGTTTCACCATGTTGGCCAGGCTGGTCTCAAATTCCTGATCTCAGGTGATCCACCCACCTCGGCCTCCCAAAGTGCTGGGATTACAGACGTGAGCCACTGCTCCTGGATGTTTTAGCATATTTTATATAATATTCTCTATAAGGACCTTACTCTGGCCATTATTTTTGTTTTTTAGATGGAGTCTCCCTCTGTCACCAGGCTGGAGTGCAGTGGTTCGATCTTGGCTCACTGCAATCTCCGCTTCCCAGGTTCAAGCGATTCTCCTGCCTCAGCCTCCCTAGTAGGTGGGACTACAGGTGTGCACCACTACACCCAGCTAGTGTGTGTGTGTGTGTGT